AAAAAAGAAAAGAAAAGCAGGTACTGACATACCTAAAAAAAGACAGTAGATGGTGTATCTTCTTCCCGTCGTCTTCTGACCTGCTTTCGAAGTTCACGAGGTTCGCTGTCTGTTGGGCTTCGTTTGGCTCAACATTTTGGTGGTGTATCTTTCCATGTTCTGGGGGAGGATTCATTGTCATGTTGGACGTTTGGTGGGTAGAGGGGCCGGGGCCTTGCTCCACGACTCTCCACATGCACAGAAGACCCAAAAAAAATGCCGGTGTATCTTTCCTTGTTCTAGAGGAAGATCCGTTTTCATTTATTTTGTGCATGTGGAAAATCGTGGAGCAAAACCCTATCGCTCGCAGATGATTCATTCTGATTTTGGATATTTGGCGAGAAGTCGGGCTAGGGCCTCGCTCCACAACTGTCCACATGCATGAAATACCAAAAAACGTTGGCGGTGTATCTTTCCATGGTCTAGAGGAGATTCATTCTCATGTTGGGCATTTGGTGAGTACCGGGGCCAGGGCGTCGCTCCATGGCTTGCCACATGCACAAAGACAAAAAGAAATCAGCGGCGTATCCTTCCGTGTTGTAGAGGAGGATTCTCCCTCATTTCTTTTGTGCATGTGGAGTGGAGCAAGGGGCCTATGGCTCGCAGATGTCGAGCTTGCATCCCGATGTCTCTGGAAGGGCCACGGCCTTGAGATATGATCGTGAACTCACCGGTCCCAGGTAATTCAGAATTGTAGTTTTTTTTCTTTTTTCTTTCTTTTCTTTGTGAATTGTAGTATTTTACTCCCGGCCCCAGGTAATTCAGAATTGTCGTTTTTTTTTTTTTTTTTTCCTTTTTCTTTCTTTTTTTTGTGAATTGTAGTATTTTTATTTTACTTATCTGCCTGCGGTGGAGAGTGAAAACAAAAAGGCTTAGGGTTTTGGTTTGGCTGTCTGGGGTCATTATACTACCTGCCCCGTGTGACATGGCCCGCCTTCGTTGTCTCATCTCATCCCCGCCTAAGGGCCGTGGCTTCGCCATGGCGGGTCTGACTTGTTTTTTTAACTGAAGTCTGCACTCTGTATAACTGAAGTCTGTAAGTAATAAATTAATAATAAAGGTTGCCGTCCCAGCCCTGCATTAAAGAGAACTCCGCACAAGCCGACTGCATACTTTGGTCAAGGTCTCTCTGATTGGATAGGCATGACCTTTCAGGCTACAACGGGCCATGGTTCGTGAAAATTATTTTTTTTAGGTTCAACAAAATAGGTTCCAAGGTACCCGTGGCACAAAATTCCGGGTTCCCCAACTTTAGCAAGTTTTTTTTTTTTTTTTTTTTTTTTTTTTTTTCCCCTCCACTTGTGGACAGTAGGGACTTGTCAGTCCCTACTTGCTGCAGTCCCAACTGACGGCCAACTCACTTATCCTCTCTCACCTCCCTTTTTTTTTTTTTTTTTTTTTTTTTTTTTTTCTTTCCAAGTTTTAATTTTCACTTCCATGAATGGAAACATCTCAAGGATGTCAGGTAGACTTCGAGGGATCAGGGGAAAACATATATTGAAAAAAGAGGAAAATTCAAAAATGCTTTCGCGGTTTCGCCCATGAAATATAATTCGGATAGGCCTGACCTTCCAGGTACAATGGGCCAGGGTCGGTGAACTTTTTTTTGGTTCAACAACAAAAAAAAGGTTCCAATGTACCCATCTCGGAGCCTCTTTTTCTTCAGGCACGATTTGCCCACGCCTACGAATCTGAACTGGTGTGTGCAACTGGTGCGTGCAAAGGCCTCCTGCATCTAGCCAAAAAGGTCCAGTAGGCCGAACCTTTGCACAGCACCTCGTGAACTGGAGGTGGCAAGAGGTCTAGTTGCGCTGGGCAGTGCTGCGGTGATTCAAAATGTAAATGCTGCAGAAAATCTCTGAAGCATCTGGCATAGTGAGTGGCCAGCAGCCAACAAGCAGGCTGAGGGATTTCAGAAAAAAGAGAAAAAAAAAAGGCAGGGGGATTTCATAAAACAACAAAAAAAAAAGGGATTCTTGGGCTTCATGAGGTAAAAAAGTGGCATCCAGATGTGGGTGGCGCTAACGATACCTGTCATTGAACAACTGTTGGGACACTTATCCCATGTTCCCGCAAATTTGTTCGATCTATGGACCCCCGATCTGGTTTCCAGAAGGAGCACCGTCCACCAATCGCTTGGAAGTCGGAGCCCATTTAAACCACCAGTACCGAACTTTTCCTTTCGCAATCCACCGAACTTCTTTGTTTCATGTAGATGCAACTGGTGACGCTGGGCCGGGTTTCCAGCAGGTGCAGCTCCCCACCAATGGAATGGAGCCGTCCAATAGCGGGGCCTGTAGAATGGGTGTTTGCTCTTATCAGCGCCCCTTCTACACGCATCGTTGATGTTTTCTCAAAAAAAAAAAAAAAAAAAGATACAGTGTGAGACCGGTCCTCTAATGCAGGGGGCCGGTACTCCAATCTGGAGTGC